GGATCCGAACCCTCGGCGGGAGCGCCGCCGCACTCCCAAGCGGCGCACTGTAGCAGTGTGCCAGCAGGCCGGCCCTTTTTTGTCCTTTTTGAGACCAGCCGCACCGCGCTCAGCCAGTGAGCGCTGCGAGCACACCGGTCATCCCTATATAGCATCCGAACCCGTGGCGGGAGCACTGCTGCGCTCCCAGCGCCGCACTCTCTTGAGTGCGCCACGGGCTAGGCCCTGAAACTTAGATAATTTTAAGCCAGTGAATTATAGAATTTACAAATTTCAAAACAACAGGAAAGCAGAATGTTACCAAATCTTCTTGGTTTTGTGACTCTTGGTGGGAATTTTCCCTGATTGAATTGATATATAAAACTGCTAGAAAGCCCCAGAAATTTGACTCTGCTGGAGACATATGTTCAGTGAAGCTCTAAAACATGCTAAAGTCAAAATTAGAGGGAGAGACTGTTGGAACTGTGACGACCTATTCAAATAAAAATTATCAGTAGCTTCTGAGCTGTCATTTAACCAGCATTTACTGAGATGGATCCAGTGCCGAGTAGACAAGAACTAGTAGCAGAGATCCCTCTAAGGCCCAGGAACAGTATGGATGAGGGCAGCTGAACCCCGGCAAAGATGGAGATAGAGAAAAGATGAGACTCAGGCAGGAAATTTGCACTAGAGAGGGTGAGAGAGAAGGACAGGGAGAGAGACTAGAAGAGAGGGCAGGGGAGATCTATGGAGGGAGAGGGAGAGATTTGGAGTTCATTCAAACACAGGTGATGATTAAAGTCATGGGATTGGATGGTATTTCCAAAGACGTGAGTATAGTGAAACACAAAGAAGATGGCTTTGGCAGAAGAGTCTCTAAGAGGATATAAGCATAAGCAGCAAAGGAGGCAGGAGGAAAGAACGAGAGTGATGCAGCCACAGAAGCCTGTGACACGTTTCAGGAAGGTTCAAGGGATTGGTGTTATGAGACATTGTGGGGTAGGGGATTTGGGGCCTAGAAAGGAGAAAACCGAATCCGTGGATGTAGCAAACCCGTGGATTTTCAGCGGAACACTTTGTTTGGAAGAACTTGCACTAGACAGTCCTTTTAGTGCTTCAGCCAGGGATGGACTCTCATTCTCATGAAATCATGATGTCGTGAAATCAGCAAGTCTTGTAGCTCCCCATGTCAGGTCTCTATCTCTCCTACCAGTGAGGAGGTTGTCCTAAGTGCTCTTTTAAGATCCCTCCCACCTCTGTTATTCTGGGATTATTAGGAGCCTTTTAACTTTTCAGAAGTCCTTACTGAGTTTAAAATATATCTGTAATAATTTGCATATGTTAGTCTTCTGCCTGTGATCGTGAGACTGGAAGGAGACCAGAGGGACCTACATGTTGGAAGGAGGTGGGCACATACTCATATTCAGGTCAGACAGAATTGATTTCTCACTCCAAGCAAATTCTCAAGAGTTTGGGAGGACTCACCTAGCCCAGGAAATGGTGCATGTTAGGCTACTTTCATTCATCCCTGGGAGAAGCTGTAAGTGGGAGACTAGTAAATGGTAACTCTCCTTATTATCATTTGTAATAAGGAGAACCTAAATAAATAATGAGTCACTATGGATCTGTCCCCAGTAGTGTACCTGGGACCCAGGTTAAGGCTGGTGAGTGATAGAATGTGTTGACGCCTTACTGCCATCAGCCAGGCCAAGTCACTGAAAGAGAATCCTCTTGCAATTGTGCAGTAGTGAAAGGTCACATGCTATGGTAATAAAATAAATACAGGGAAAACTGACTAAGGGAAAACTAGTACAGAGGTTACTCTCTACTGGATTGTGAAATTTGCCTCCCATTCGTGCCGCTCCTGGAAAATGAGAACTTCACAAGACACTGAAAACACTTTATGTGTAGTCAGGAAACTCGTGATTAGTCATTATGTAGAAGAGCTGGTGATCATTACAGACAGGAAGAGAGAAGGGGAGCCCTCTGTCCTCAGACACCAGGTAGAAGGGTTGATTAGTCAGTGTTCCAAACCCAAGAGGCAGCTTTGGATTGATTGGGGGGATAAAGAGGGCAAAAAATGTGTGAAGGTCTGGCTTTCATGGATTGGTGATGTACCACAGTACTGGACTTCCTCAGAAAACTTCCGCTACAAAAGTTTCATTTATCGAAGAAATGCCACAGAAATATAGTCCCTTTTGTTCACAAAATGCTGGCACATCTATTTCAGGCCAAGATCAAGAAATCATGACATGTACAGAGGAAGAGATCTTCATTTCCAGGACATGGAATTACTCTTGAGTGAAATTTGGGATGTGTAAAAATGTCTCTGGTTCTGAGAATTGCTTGCCTTGTATTGATGATTGATTTTATAACCAAATCAGTTGCTCTTCTTACAGAGTTGGGGGGAAAACAGGATAATCCAAGACCACCAGACTTCATTATAAATAGACCGCTTGCAACAAGCCAGCCAAGCGTTTGCATAACACCACGCCAGAGCCTGCCTGCTGCAGGCCTGTTTTGCATGGCACTCAGAGAGTCATGCGGGGTCGTGTACCAGACACTATATGTCCCTCCACTTCTCTCCAGCGTGGCATCCTCCATCACTCCCCTCTTTGTACGCTTGTATTTCTTAGGAAGGAACCTCAAAATTTGCAAACCTGGACAGCAGCGTGAAAGAAAACCAGAAACGGACTCAGAGGCAGCTTCAGCTCCAGAAGGATATGGTACGTCAGGATCTTGTTCTTTCCTGAGAGCGCACAGGAGAGAGGCTCTGTGTGGGTGGCTGGGCTCCTGCCTGGCACGGCACCTTCAGTCTCCAGGACACCTGAGCTTTCAGAAAGGTTCTCCTGTTCTTTACCTCATATGTTTTCAGCAGCCCTGGAAGTGAATAGGAAAGATAGTATTACCCCCATTTGATCCAGTAGGAAGTAAACACGGAGTTGCAAATCCTGTTTTCTGGAGCAGTTTTTTCCTGAAGGTAAGGGAGAGTGTGCAGCAGGTGAACTTCCATCCCTCTGTGGTCTCCTCCACCCACGCCTGCACCTCAGAGCTTATTTAGCCTCCTGGGCTGCACGCTGTTGTCAGCTTCTGCACACAGTGGCCAAGGAAGGAGTATGCTACTCTGGGAGGTCTTGGTCCTTGTACTCAGAGATCTTTACATTTGTTCCAAACCCTTTAGTCATTGCTGAGCTCTCCTTACTAAACCCAAAGGCTGAGCAAACCTTTCTAAGGTTTTCAGTACTCACAGAAGTTTCATGCTTCTCTCCTGAAGACTGAAAGATAGTTCTTACCTTTATCTTTATTTTAAATTTCCAACTTTTACCATAGAAGGGGGAAAAACAGAGAAAGGAGATTAGAGACTGTCAAACTCTAAATATTCTCATCCCTGCTTTCAGAGGATTTTCTCCTTTTTTGGAAAGCTGGACATAAATTGGAAAGGTTTGAATGACCGGACTCTTCTGTAACATAAAGCCTACAAAACATTCACAGTGTTTCAAACTTTTTTGGAGGTTCAAAGACAAGTTAAAAATAGGTGTTACAAAAAAAAAAAAAAAAAAGATTATTTTTGTCCAGGATGAGACCTTGTACACATAATGGCGAAGGACAAACTGCAGCTGACAGTTCCTAAAGGACAGAACCTTCCTTGGTGTGACCCTCACGAAGCAGTTCTGGCTGAGGACGTGGGCAGCCTCACGTCAAGCAGCCTGGCCCTCGTTGAAATTTTGTGTCCTTGTCAGAATTTCCATAAGTGCCTCAATGAAATTTAGGATGAGGCGTCCATGGGGGCTCCTTTTTATTTTTTCTTGAGAATGGTTAGTGCCTCGGGGGCCTGGTAGGGAAGGAGATGTGGTGAAATGAACATAGTGTATATGTGCAGTTGTACTCTGAAGTGCCTCCACCTCCATTTCCAAGGGGCAATTTTTTTAAACTAAACTTTTAATTTTGGAATAATTTCAGGTTTACAGAAAAATTGCAAAGCTAGTGCATAGAATTTCTGTAAACCCTCCCCTAGTTTCGCCCATTGTTAACATCTTCTATAACCATGGCATGTCTGTCAGTATTAAGAGACTGACACTGTCATAGTACTATGAACTAAAATTCAGACTTTATTGGGATTGTACCAGTTTTCCATTAGTGTGCTCTGTCTGTTCCAGGACCCAATCCAGTGTATCACACTGCATGGAGTCTTCCCAGGCTTTTCTGGTTTGTGAGTTTCTCAGTCCTTCTTTTTTTTTTTTTTTTTTTTTTAAATAACCTTCACAGTTTTAAGAGTACTGTCCAGGTATCCTGTAGAATGCCCCACAATCTGGGTTTGTCTGGTGATTAAACTGATATTATGGGTTTTTGGAAAGAATATTACAGAGGTGAATGCTCTTCTAGTCACATCATGACATCTGGTGTCACGTTGATGGTGCCGCTGGTAATGTTGACCTTCGTTACTGAGTTAACGTAGAGTTAGCTAGATTTTCCATTTTAATGCTTTTTTTCTTTCCTTTTTTTTTTTTGTGTGTGTGGTGGCTGGCCAGTACAGGGATCAAACCGTGGACCTTGGTGTTATCAGCACCATGCTCTAAACGATTGAGCTAACCGGCCAACCCCCAGTTTTCCACTTTAAAGTTACTTTTTCCCCCTTTCCTTCCTCTGTTCTTTGAAAGGGAGTCACTAGTCTAGCCCAAGGGTCCCTTTTCATCGTGACACCCCATGCTCTTGTGGTACATGCCTCTTCTCCATTGTGCCTTGACCTGCTTTTATTGAAGATGAAGCCATTGCTATCCAGGGCCATTCCAAACCCCTGGGAATGTCCATGCACTCTGAAACAGAGAAAGCCTTCCCTCTGAACTGAGCCTAAGCCAAACATAAACCCCACTGGGAACATATTTGAACATACATGTATGATCTCCTGGCTTTGAAGCTTGGTTTTTATAACTTTGAAAGTGAGACATTAGTCATGGAGTTCCTATCCTATTTGTGTAGGAATTTTAAACATTTCATTCACAGAGGTTAGCAAATTAGACCTTGAATAGGTCCATTTGCTGCAGTGTCAATGTGATTGAAACCTTTAAACTTTTCAATATACTAAAGACAGTTTTGCTCTGATTGCTCTTCAGGGTGTGATGCAGGGTACTGTGCCCTACCTGGGCCCCTGCCTGCCTGACCTGACCATGCTTGACACTGCTCTTCAGGACTATATCGAGGTGAGTTCTGCACAGGTGGTGTAATTGGGCCTGCAGCCTTCTCACTGGATACCCAAAAGAGAGATTCGCTTCTACAACTACTAGTATCTATTGAGGGCCCATTATGTACAGTGTTGTGTAGAGGCTGGGAGGAATACAAAGAATAACAGCAGAAAATACCACCAGAAGTGACTCGGTATTCAGTGGACGGCATAGTATATTAAAGTAGACAGCGATGGACAGGAATAGTAGAAATTTCTGTTTTTATTTATTTATTTATTTTAATTTTTATTGAATCATAATTGATTACACATATTTTGGGGGCTCAACACTAACATATGTTGATCAAGTCAATATATTGTTACAAATCATAATAATTCTTTATGCCTATGTCCAATCTCTCCCATCCCCTCTCCCTTCCGTCTCATTACCCTAGATTTCTTCTCTCCCTCTGAAAGAGTAATGGTTACTCTGTTGATTTGTTGCCTAGATGATCTGTCCAATGCTGAGAGGTGTGTTTAGGTCCCCCAATATTTTCATAGAGCACATGCTTCTGTCACTCTGGAATGGGCTTTGTGGAGAGAGACATCCTCCTCTTTTCTTTGGTCTCTGCTGCTGACTCTCCTTGTGTCAATGCACTCCAGTGGCTGGTGGACCACCTGTGTGGTGGTTGTGGCATCTAGCTGCTTTCATGGCAGCCGTAGTTATTGTGGTAGCTGTGGTGGGCCACCCACATGGAGGTGATGTTTTTGGCATGCTCCTTGGTGTCGGTAGTGTGCCTGGTTGTGTTAGAGGGTGTCCATTCCCTGGCTCCAAGGGTGGGCCCCCGAGGCACTGGTGGTGTGCCTGGGTTGGAACTAATTTTTTGTTCTTTGCTTACTTCTAAAATGGGGAACTTCCTTTGGGAACCAGTACTTGAGCTGCGTGGTTTAGCTAAATTGCTAATTTGCTGCTGATTTAATGGTTTTAATGGTTGACTTTACAGGTACTTCTGGCTCTCCAAAGACCCGGTGCACCTGAGTTGTGTAGAAACTCTGATCTGGGCCTGAGTCTTTTCATCAAAATGTATCCTATGCAGTTCCATATTCCTGGTCAGTCTCCACTGAGAGGACCTTTGCTGATTGGGGTGCCAGTCAGCAGTCCTTGCTGTGCCCCAGTGATCCCCCAGTGGGCCCATATGTACCACTGCCCATGCTACAGACGCTTCCAATGGGACAGGCCATGTGCTGGTCCCTTGCGATGACTCACCAGCCTCTGCGTGGCTCCTTTTTTTCAGCTGTTCTGGCTCCTCACTCCTGCATGAGTCCACAGGAACCGTATTAGTGGTGTTGCTGGCTGGGGGGCCACCAAAGCTCTCCTCCCCTGCTGCGTCCAAGCAACTTCATCCAAAGGACGCAGCTGTGGCTTTTGCTGGCTCCTGCTTCTTGCACTCAGCAGCTCTAGCCTTAAAGTGGCTGCAGCACAAAATGGTCAGAGTGGTTTTTTCTTTCTCTATTTGTGGCTTCTCCTGCCTTCATGCACTCTGTAAGTCCTCTGTAAGTCCTCCTCTTCCCCTGAGCTCTAGCAGCCCCAACTTGGCTGTTGTTGCTTTTTTATAGTGGTAAATTGGTTGATTTGTGGGAGAGAGTGATGCTGGGGCCTGTCTATTCCACCATCTTGACCGGAATCTTCCAATAGTAGAAATTTGAACAGAAGTGCAATGAGAGAACATAGAAAGTCCCGATTAATTTCATATGAGAGAATAGGATGGAAAGGCCTATGAAGGAGGGGGTTTGATAAGCTACTTATTAGTAGCAATAATAAAATATTAGGTGGAGAGGAAGTTTGATATTTGAAATGATATTTAAGGATTGCTTTTCTATTTAAGTACATCTCACCTCCCTGGTTATCATATGCAATCAGCCTGCGTTAATTGTGTTATAATTAGAAGGGGAGAAGGAGTAGAGGTTATTTTGCATAGACTTACCTCCAACTTTGCTGTAAGTGTTGTGGACATGTTCATTCATTTTACATTTCCTGGGCTCTATGTCTTTTCACATCCTCTGCTTCAGCTTATCTCAAGGAAACACCCATCAGTATTGGGAAATTTGGGGGAGTGACCAAAGACTTAGAAGTTATATTGAGCCTACTGAGAATAGGAACTGGCAGGATGAAGAATTGAAACTTAACGTTTCCTGATGCCAAGTAGAGGTGACTTCCCTTTTGATAAACCATTGACAATTTGATTTCCAGTATGACTCAGTGACCATCTGTTTGTGTTGCTTTTGCCCGAGGAAAAAAGAGTAATGGAATATTTATGAAAGCTTTTTGTCTTCAATGGATCTACAAATACATTTGTATTTCTTTATCATTACTATTTTAGTTGGTTTCAGACACTTTAAGAGAAGGCTGTCTGCCTATCCTGACCTATTATAAATTAAGAGAATGTTTTTCTTGAAGCAAAAGATGATTCTCTTCCTCCATATTAGCCATAACTAAAAGATCATTAATAATTGTGACTTTATTTCCCTTTGATCTATTTTGATGTGACCTAGAACAACATAGGATTGTGTTTGAAAGTAGCTTGGTTGGTCACTCTTTTTAAAAAAATTTCTTTCAGGGTGGACTGATAAACTTGGAGAAAAGGAGAAGGGTAAGTAGAGGTCTTGGCTATGGTTTTTCATTTTGCTTCCTCTGGAAATCAAAAAATGAAAGAAGTGGGGAGTCCAGTTGTTTTGTACAGGCAGAAAAAATGAATTAGCACTTATTGAATATGTATTACATACCATTATGCTTGGCGTGTTCCTGTACTTTATCCCCCAAGAGCCCTGTGAGGGGGTGTTATCTCCTCAGCCCAAAGGTGAAGAAACCAGATATTTGGACTGAATAGGGTTCTCCTAGTCCTGTCCTGCTACTACAAAGTGCACATTTCTTTTTAATTATACATATTTATGGGGTACAGAATGATATTTTGATGTATGTATCCACTGTGTACTGATCAAATCAGGGAAATTAGCTTATACTTTACCACAAACATTTACAATTTCTTTGTGTTGAGAACATTTGAACTTTCTCTTGTGTATTTGAAACTTTTGTATATTGGAACTTCTGTGTATTTGCAGATACACAATAGATTGTATATACAGTGAACAAAGATACAATAAATATGAATTATTGTTAATTATAGTCACCGAGCACTCTACAACACTAGAACTTATTCTTCCTGTCTCGCTGTAAGTTTGTACCCATTAACCAGCCTCTCCCTAGCCTCTCTACCCCCTCCCCAGCCTCTACTAACCACAATTCTACTCTACTTCAGTGGCAAAGCTCACATTTTTTTCTCTTACCCCTCTTTATGTCCTTCTTTATAATTAGCTTCAGCAAAAACAGGTTTACCCCTGTAGTTAATAACAATGTATTGTATACTTGAAAATTGCTGAGAGTAGGTTTTTTTGTGTGTGTGTGGCTGGCCTGTAAGGAGATCCCGACTCTTGATCTTGGTGTTATCAGCACCACGCTCTCCCAAGTGAGCCACCAGCCAGCCCCTAAGAGAGTAGATTTTTTAAGTGTTCTCGCCACAAATAAGTATGTGAATTCATATGCTCATTAGCTTCATTAGCCATTTACAGTGTATACATATTTACATCATGTTGTACACCATGACTATGTACGATTTTTATTTGTCAATTAAAAGAAGAAACTGGCTTACTTTATTAGGGAAAAAGGTTTCCTAAGAGTAAATGAGAGAGAATGGTTAATTAAGATGGTTAACACTTGTGAGTCCATCTGAGAGAGGAAAGGAAATGGTCTTCACTGTTAGGTACAGTTAATTATTCTTTTCCTTTCCTGTCAGCATAGGAAGGGGTATTCAGCATCGATTTGAATCTTTCCGTGGATAGAATACTTCTGAACTATGCTAAAAAAAGATAGAACAGCTTTGAAATTTTGCTATGGTTTTTGTGTTCTAACACTATATTTAAATAGATATTTAAAAGATTCAGGGAAAACATGAGTGAGCAAAATAACAGCTTTACCCCATAGCAGTCTCATTGTTCTTTAGTCATTCATTCATTCTTTCATTCCATAAATATTGATCGTATACCCAACCTGGGCGTTATGGGGATTGAGGCAGAGAAAAGTCAGAGCTCCCTGGCCTCCTAAAGTTCACAGTAGACCAGGGAATTTTCTTGAAAATTTACCTTAGGGAAGCTTGAAGTTGAAAGCAAAGTAAGTATTGTACCAGTGAGGAAATTGAGGTTTAGATATGTATTATAACTAGTCAGTGATGGCATAGGGCCAGAGAAACTTCCAGGAGGAAATGAGATCAGACTTAAAACCAAAAGACTGTAGAGGAGCTAACCAGGCTGAGCTCATTAGTAGCAAGATGCTAACCTGGACAAACGCAAATTTTCTGCCCCTAGTAGAGTGTACTCCCTTCTTTAGCATGATGATAAATATTCCTTGAGGATACTGAGACCAAGGACTGAGATCACTGGATGGAAAGTTGAGACCCAGAGAACCTGACAATTCTTGAGATAACTTCTGTCGTGTCCTGTAATGATAAAAATATTCTTTCAGTTGTTGCCTCCACAGTTACCCGTCTTTGTCCTTTAACTTCAGAATAACCCACTCTTTCCTTTAAGGAGTAGGATGTTAAACTTTTGGAAAGTTTGAGTATAAAACCCAAACCTAAGCTTATACCCGTTGCTGGCTTACAAAAAAAATCTTTATTGAAACATCTGAAGAAGTATAAATAATTTTGGACATAATTATGTACTTGCTTCTCTTGTGAGCTTTAAAACAGTTCATTAAATGATTTACTGGCATAGTAAAAACTGAAGGATTCAGGAAATCTAAACATTCAAGTTGATGAGACCCTAGACTGTTTAAATGTCCAACACTACCGAAACTTATTTATTGGGGAGTAGGGGTTGAAGAAAATGGGGATGAAGAACATGGGAGCTTCCTGACTTAAAATATTTGTTTTATCTTTTAAGAAGAAATAGAAATAGAAATTCTTCATATTTTTTTGAAATGCTCAAAACCTTAAAAAATAACTTCTTTACCTCAAGGATGAAAATGGAAAAGAGGAAAAAGAAGCCACTGTGACTTTTTGGATTCTTTGGTAGCTTATTTTATTCATACAAATTGTTTTTTCAAGAGAAAGGAGAATAAAAATTGAAGCATAAGCTATTTTCTTTCTTTTTTTTTTCTAAGGAGTAGGATGTTAAACTTTTGGAAACTTTGAGTATTAAACCCAAAACTAAGCTTATAGCCGTTGCTGGCTTACAAAAAAATCTTTATTGAAACATCTGAAGAAGTATAAATAATTTTGGACATAATTATGTACTTGCTTCTCTTGTGAGCTTTAAAAGAGTTCATTAAATGATTTACTGGTATAGTAAAAACTGAAAGATTCAGGAAATCTAAACATTCAAGTTTATGAGACCCTAGACTGTTTAAATGTCCAACACTACCGAAACTTATTTACTGGGGAGTAGGGGTTGAAGAAAATGGAGATGAAGAACATGGGAGCTTCCTGACTTAAAATATTTATTTTATCTTTTAAGAAATAGAAATAGAAATTCTTCATATTTTTTTGAAATACTTAAAACCTTAAAAAATAACTTCTTTATCTCAAGGATGAAAATGGAAAAGAGGAAAAAGAAGCTACTGTGACTTTTTGGATTCTTTGGTAGCTTATTTTATTCATACAAGGACTTCAGAGATTCAGAGTTAGAATTTTTAAGAGTTATTTAGCTATTTTATTTCTAAGGAAGCAGTATTTCAGAGGCCTCCTAGATGGTTTCCTCCATCTTCTGTCCTAAGGTGGAGTGTTGTCATGTGTATGTTTGGTTAGCATTATTATTCATTCTTTTTTTTTTTTTTTTTTTGGTGTCTGTCTGCTTTAGGAATTTGAAGTGATTGCCCAAATAAAACTCTTACAGTCTGCCTGCAACAGCTATTGCATGACCCCAGACCAAAAGTTCATACAGTGGTTCCAGAGGCAGCAGCTCCTAACAGAGGAGGAGAGGTAGGCTGACCTGTTGTCCATCACGGAGGTGTTGGGGGGAGCATGCTGCATCCAGCAACTCATTGGGTCATTTTTCAACAACATTGTTTTTTCGTTTTTTTGTGGCTGGCTGGTTGGGTGCAGCAGGAAAGGATGGCATCAGAAGACATACTCTCAGATTTGTGCTCAGCCACTTTCTTTGTAACCTTGAATGAGTCATTTATTCTTTATCTTCAGGATGCTCATCTGTAAAATGTTTGTGCGGCTTAAATAAAGTCATGTTGTAGGAATGCTTACCATTACTATCATCATCATCATCACCACCACCATGTTTTCTACTATTACTAATTGCTGTTATCTTTCAAGGAGCTTTTAATCTACGGAGAGGGACAGACTCATGAAAAATTGAACTCTGATGGGCAGCTAAAGTCCTACAGAACTACGGGCAGGAACAGTTCGTTTGGCCAAGGAGGGAAGTGGGGGGGAATAGGAAGCTATGAAGGCATTAACATCTAGGCTGGGCTGTGAAGGAGAGAGAAGATTTCACCAGAAGAATTGGAGAAGAACATTCCAGACAGAGAAAGAACACAAGCAAAGGTCTGACGTGCTTGGCATTTGGAAGAACAGTGATAACTCTGGTGTGGCTGGTACACAAGGGACAGGTTTTCAAATAAATAGTGGTTGATGGGCATAGAAAGATACTTAACTCTAGTGCTTTGAATGTTGGCCCAGCAGGGGTTCAGGCCATACCCTGTAGTCTGGGGGTTGGCAGATTAGTCTGCAGGCCGTATGTGGTCCACCCCCCGTTTTTACATTTTTAAATGGCTGGTAAAAAAGAAAAACACAAAAGAATAATGTTTTGTGACATGGGATAGTTATTTGAAATTCAAATTTTAGTATCCATAAGTAGTTTTTTTGGAACATAGGCCATTCATTTACATCTTATGTACGATTGCTTTCATGCTTTAAAGACAGTTGAGTAGTTGCAACAGTGACCGTATGGCCACAGAGCTTAAAATACTCACTGTCTGGTCCTTTACAGAAAAAGTTTGCTGATCTCTGTTATAGACTAGGGAATTTTCTTGAAAATTTACCTTAGGGGAGAGTGAAGTTGAAAGCAAAGTCAGTATTGTACCAGTGAGGAAATTCAGGTTTAGATATGTATTATAACTAGTCAGTGACAGCATTTGGATTGGAACTCAGGTCTGCCTACGAACAACCTGAGCTCAGTACCCTTCTCTGCCTACCCGGTAGCCAAACACATCTCCTAGCTAGAGCTACAAGCTTTCATAAAAGGCATTTCAAATCAGATATAAATCCTCTTGTGCTTGTGGCAGTTATATCTTCCTGTTATATGGATGTCTGAATCTGGAGCATTTTTAATTTAGGATGTTTTAGCAATTAAAAATCATATTTATGTGTCTTTATCAATAATATAACTGCCTATGCCTATTCATTAAAGGTGAGATAATTTACAAAAATCTCTTTCATTTCCTTTAGATGAAAGTAAGTCACTGGCTCAGGTGCACAAACACGCGCAAAGTGGTTGGAAGGAGGTGGAAGGCAAGAAATGGGAGGGGCAGGAGGAGGGAGTCTCCCCCAGACTGGAAGTGGGATGAAGAGTGCTCAGGAGACAGAATGCAGTCAGCTTGTGGTGCTGCCGGCGTGCATGCATTCCTGTATTGGAGGCATGAAGAACCGCGCCAGTCAGTGGAGGGACATGGGGAGGTGGCACATAACGTAAACTGGTGAAATCTGGTCATGAAATCAGCACCCTCTGACATTTACGACAGAACAAAACACTGTGTATCTTTACTCTGAATAATCAGAGCCTTTCTCTAAGACAAAACTGATACATCACATGAACTTAAACTGTTCTTCTAATTCTCCCACTTGGACCTCACGATCGCTGTTACCCCTCTCTTTCCCAGCTATGCCCTGTCGTGTGAGATCGAAGCAGCTGCAGACGCCAGCACCACCTCGCCCAAGCCTCAGAAGAGCATGGTGAAAAGGCTCAGCCTGTGAGTGTTACCTGGGGCCCCGAGAGGGCCCATCAGAGTAGGGAGAGGAAACGTATCCAACAGGGTCCCCTTGGCCCAGGGAAAAAGTAAAGGACACTCCGGTCATTTGCTGAATAGTTTATCTTTCTGTCCTGAACGCAGAACATTTGCTAGATCCATTCATCCTTCTCCATTCCTGTCTGTGGTAAGAACCTCTGTCACCTTTGCCTGGGCTACTCCAGGAATGTCATTACTGCCTTCCGGCTGCTGCTTTACCCCAATGATTCATTCTCTACCGAATAGGCAGGTGGTCTTTTAAAATGTACCCCCGATTATGTTGCTTCCTTGCTTTAAAACTCCAGTGGTTTTATTTTAAGATAAAATCCACGTTCCTTACCCTAGTTTACTGGGCCTTATGTGATCTACCCGCAACCTCCTCTTCCTTACAACGGCCCTCTCTGTTCACCAAGATCCAGCCACGCTGGTCTCCTGGTCATCCTCAAACACTCCAGGCTGTTCCTGCTTCACGGCCTTTGCTCTAGCTGTTCCTGGAATGCTCTTTCTTCATGGTTGGATACTGGCAAAAGTGTTGCCCTGAGAGAGAGTCCTCTCTGATGTTGCTTTCTACCCCTATCGTTTTATTCATTCTGGCTGTTTCCACCAGTGGAATGTAAGCAACCTGGAAACAGGTACCTTGTTTGTCAAACTGATGGCTGCATGCCCGGCTGGGTGCCAGGCATATAAGAGGCCCTCCCGACCTGACTTCATAGCACCTGTCTCTCTTTGAGTATAATCCAATTCCTTGCAGTAGCCCACAAGGCCCTTTGGGATCTGAGGCATCACTTGACCCCACCTGTCCCATGCCTGTCTGTCCTCATCTTTCCCTGTTTCACTCTGCTGTTTGCACTCCAGCCCCCAGACCTCCCTGAACACACTGGGCACACTCTTTTTGCCTCTGCCTCTTCCCCAAATAAATAGCCACATGGCTCACTCCCTTGCATCCTTCAGATGTTTGCAGAAATGTCACTTTCTCAGTGAGCCTTCCCTGACCACCTCATTTAATACCATAACTGGCCCACCTTACCTGCTCTTGGCACCCTCTCTCACTGTCCCCTTCTCCGAGTTTCTCCATCACCTTTACCTCCATCTGACATACTGTATGTTATAGGTGTGTTTAGATACAATGCAGACTCTATGAAGGTAGGCATTTATGTCTCTTTTTTGTTTATTGCTTTATCCCCAGAACCTAGAATGGTACCTGGCACACAGTAGAGGATTAATTAAGGACTGTTCTAAGAACAATACATGTATTTCTCATCCAATCCATGAAATCACCTAAGAGATAAGTCCTACCTTTATATCCATTTTATAGACCAGGAAACTGAGGCACAGACAGTGAATACCAAGCTAGTAATTGAAGTATCTGGATTCAAACCTAAGATTTGGCTCTAGAGCTAAGTTGATAACCTTTCTACCATATTGCCTCTTGGAAAAATTCTTCCTGAAGGAACAGAGGAAGAAAATATGCAATTGGGGTTAAAAAGTGAAACAGGGGAGAAGAGGAAGGAGGGAAGGAAGGGAGAAAAGGAGGAAGAGAGAAAGGGCGAAGAGAAAGGAAAGAAGGAAGGGATAAAGAGTAAGATGTAGTTTTAGTTACACCCTGCGCTTTGATTGTAGCAATTTTTGCAGAACCTTAAGAGAACTTAGTCTCTGCCGTGAAGTTAGTCTCTTAGACATTAGATTCTTAAAGACATTAGACTAATGAATCTAATGAGAGCTAAGGAAGTTAGTTCAAGGAAACAGATTATAATTTGATTAATAAACTTGACCTTCTCTTTTGCACACGTGTACCTGTCTGATCTTTTGGGTGTCATAATCTGGATTTTCTGGGGACGAGCAAGAACAGCAATTAGGGAATATTGGACAGTTTTTCATGGCAGAGTGGGCTTGGGAGCCAGGCTGACCTGAGAGATCCCAACTCCACCAGTTACTTGTGTGAACTTCTGTTTTATCATTTGAGAGAAGAGGATAATAACGTCTACCTTATGGCCTTTTGTAAAGCTCTTAAAGCAGTGCCTACCTATGAGTGGGAACCTGAAAAGCTATGACTACATTTTATGAAACAAATAAGTTAATATCTTTCTGAGTTATTTTGGGGGAGTCGTCAGGAGTATGACTATTTTTGATGTGTATTTGAACCTTCCCAGCACTGTCTCTTCACCTGCCTCAGTGAGTCACATGGAGACACAGAGGCAGGGATGGCACGTGACCTTGGGTTTTGTCGTAGTCCCAATATAACATGTGAAGGCCCTTTTTGGGTGTGGATAGCATGATCTCCCATCATCAGAGGCTGCTCCCTGATACCAGGAGATATGAAGCACTGAGGATTAGGTAGGAACATGTGATTTTGTAGAACGCATTTCGAAGGTAATCCTGATGTCTTGCCAAGCGTCTCCCTCTTTTCAGATGCCTGCCCTGGCCCTCCTGAACACCAAATTTATGAGTTTTGAGATTCACTTCATGAGGGAATATCCATAGTTTCTGGCTATCTTTCCAACTCTGGAAATATGGGGGAGAATGGGCTCTTTCGAGATAACCCAAGGGGCCTGGTGGAGCCTTGTTTTCTGGTGAGATTGACATGTGCACAGGGAATGGAATCAGGCTCCCTGACAGATGAGTCCAGGAGTGCGGGGCCTCCTAGTGGTCCACTCTGCTAAGTGAGGCAACAGAAAGAGTTGGGAATTTCTGGGACTGCTATAGCAGTCGGAGATCCTTAAGGAAAACACAGTCTCAGTGCAGGCAGACCTAATCCTGAGTGCCACTACTTTGTCTTCTTGTTCCCCACAGCCCTGTCATCATTTCTGTACTACAGCTCCTCTGCTACCCCTCCCCAACCCAGCGGTCTGTATTTATTGTGTTGGGTGCTCCGACACCTCCGGGTTCTGATTCTTCAGACACAGGCAGGTGTACAGCCTATATGAGGACATGCACTCTGAAACCCGGGGAAGGCAGGACTGTGAGGGTACAGCACCCTGCACAAAGTATGGTGGGCACTCAACACACCTCTTATTAGCAAAATCTTGCTGAGATGCTTGAGCTTAACCCTTGGTATCTGCAGTTGAGTTTGAACATTCATTACGAAAACAGGTCGTATGTCTGCCGTCCTATTCCTTGTACATATAAGGGTGTTTGCATTCCCCTATTTTCCAAGATTTTATGATCTTCTTCTTTACATTTTTACAAATCTGGCAAATGTATTTTTGCTCTGTCTGCATTTAATGATCCATTATCCAAAGAGACTGGAGAAAACTTTGGAGCCTTAGGGGAAGGAGTGTCTAGTTTGAACATTAGAGATGCCCAGTATCGAGCCAGAATGAACCTTTACAAGACAGAATGACCTTACTTAATTGTAGAGGTGGAAGAACCTTTAGTCTTTGAAAAATTAAGTTCTAGGCTAGAGATGCTGAGATAATGGGTGCAGGACTACTAGTTCACCTCTTCAAAGATCTACCTTGTAATGGGGCCATAAGACAGTGGCATTTTTTTTTTCTTCTTCTGTGAATCGTGGTCAGTTTAGCACTTAGACGCCTGTACCCTCTGTAGTGCTTAGAGGTCCGTGAAAGGGAGGACATGAAAAAAGGGGCTAGAGGTGGTGAGTGGAAATGAGGCAGAACAGATATATGCCTGAGGTCTCAAAGTTCAAGTTTTATAATTCCTAAAATATTTAATTAAAAATCAGGCATGTCCTCATTGTTTCTATTATCGTTGCTATTTATTTTTGGCATCTGCCTGGTACGGGGGATCTGAACCCTTGACCTTGGTGTTATCAACACTGCACTCCAACTGAGCCGAGCAGCCTGCCCTGTTATTGTTATTTTATACCATCAGAGCTTGTTTGGGTTTAAAATGCCCTCTTTGTGCGCCATCCTTTCTTACATCTCCCGCCCTCCCTCTTGTTCCTGCTGCCTTTAGTGTCATCTGTTAGTGGTAAACCCTCTCATCTTGTCTGAGAAAGTATTTTTCCTTTACTCTTGGAAATATGTTAGATGGGTACAGAATTCAAGATGAGCGTTATTTTCAGTCAGCGCTTTGAAGATGTTTGGTGTCTTCTCATGTCTGACGTTGCTTTTGGGATGTCTGATATCTGCTCAATTTCTTTTCCTCTGTGCTGCATTTCCACCCGTTGTTGCTTTTAAGAATGTCTTTTGTCTTTGATACACCCACCATTCTGCAGTTTAAGTGGGGGTTCAGTCTTATTCGTCCTGTTCAGGATGTGGTTCTGGGATCAGAGGATTCATGTGGTTTATCAGTTCTAGATTCCTCTCAGCCACCGTCTCTTTAGATATGGTCCCTCTTCCAGTCTCTCACCTGTCTTCTTCCAGAACTCCCCTCACACATGTGCAGGGCTTTCTTATTCCCTTCTCTGTGTGTCTTTTAACTTCTCCTATTTTCTATGTCTTTATCTTCTTTTTTTTTTTTTTCTTTTTCCGTTTTTGTCTTTTTTTGTGTCCGGCAACGGATCGCAACCCTCAGTGTCGCGCCCGGACCGGACCGGGACCGGGACGGGCAACAGGATCGCAACCCTCGGTGTTGCTCCCACACCTCGCTCAGCCAGTGAGCGGAAACTGGTCTGTATGTGGGATCCGAACCCTCGGCGGGAGCGCCACTGCGCTCCCAAGCGGCGCGCACTGTAGCAGTGTGCCACTGGGCCGGCCCTCTATGTCTTTATCTTCTGATGCTAATTTCTTAGTATTATCTTCAGCTCTATCATCCAGTTCATGATTTTTTTCTTCAACAGTTACTTAATATATCCACTGAGTTTTTAATTTGAATCGCTACATTTTTCACTTAAAAGTGAAATTTTTTTTCAAATTAGCTTCTTGTTCTTTTGTCAGTGTCTTGCTCTTTTTCTTCTTGTGTCATCTTCTCTCGTATCTTCAATATTTTTAAAAATACTTATTTTATAGCTTGAACTACAGATATTTGTTGAATGAATGAATCAATAATTGGTTTCTTTCTGATAGTTGTTATATCTGAAGTTCTCAGGAGTCTGAAGCTGCTGTTTGTTATGCCTGTTGACTCCCTTTGAGTGGGAATATTTCCTTGAGTGTAGTTTGTAGTTTTGTATTGTGAGCTCATCTTTGTCAGGGAATTCTCTGCAGGCTGGCCTCAAAGTATATCCCTACAGAAAGTTTTTTTGGTTTTTTGTTTGTTTACACATGATTTCTAGGGAGACATTCTTTTATCCACGCTTAGGCCAAGAGAGAGAGGCTTCCCTGTTGTCTTCCTGTGCCAGTAGGAGGATATTTTCCTAGCCCACCTTTTTACTAAGGGTACGGCCCTTTGAGGGTTCTGGCTCTATAAGGCGTTTGGTTCTAACTCCCCACCTTTCATAAATAGAGGCCTTCATCATTGTGCTCTGTGTACGTCTTAAAGCCCATGTCATTATTTTGCCCAGAGAGGCATCTCCTACTCCCCAACCAGAGCAGCTGCAGAATCAGCTACATGCTTCTGGTTTTCACTTCTCTTTTCATTTCTGACCCCATAGGGATTTCCCTTACTATCTTGCAGGTCCAACAAAAATGAGTTTTTAATATTTCTTACTAAGTTGTTTAATGGAGGAGCGGTTTAGGTTATTGTACTTCATTTTATGGTGGGAAGTGAGGGGGGTGTGGTGAGGACATTTCATCTTGCCAGAGCCTTATTATAGACAAGCCCATCAATTAGCAAATTACATTAGGGCATAGCCTGAAGAAGTAAGAAAAAAAAAATCACTACCCAGGACTCCAAATAAGAAGCTGAAGGGCCGAGCACCTAAAAGAGGACCTCCAGTCTCCATCTGGAAAAAACTAGAATTGGATGAAGTTTGACTTGAATCCTCAGCCTCCCTTCCCTGGAGGTTTTCCCCAATTCCTGGGCTGTTTCTCACCTCATCCCCCTTCTAAAAAAAGATCTAGTTGCATTCAGTCATATCTCAGCAGAAATTTAAATCAGTTACTACTCCCCCAGAAGAACATTTATATTTTAAAGCTTTTCTCTCTTTCTTTGTAGAATGAATGACTTGTAGGCATCTTGGATCAAGTGAGGGTAGCTTTTTCTTAGCTTTGTAGGGGAAAGGGAATGCTAAGTGTGGGCCCTACAACACTTCCCCTACCAGGGCAGCATGTGGGTACCTGTCTACTTTGGTGGCAGGGATGTAACTTAAAGCTTGCCCCATTACCCCAGAGTTGAAGGTCCTCATGCAAATGGGGACTGGAAGAGGTAGGAGGGGATTACTGCCTGGCCCCGAAGTCTGGGATACAAACAAGTGATAGCTAAAGGAAGCTGAAACACTCCATGATACGGGGGATGTTAAACAGTCTGATTTCATCACTTTCCCTCCACACAACTCAGGAACTTTCTCATTCAGTGAAGGAATGAGAAATTGGGGGTCTAATGGTTCAGAATGGGCCTCTGATCCCTCTTGCCAGCTACTGTATAGATATGTATCAACCACCTTGCAATGCAGAAGCTGACCCACTTCAGCCAAGAAAGGTCTGTGCTAAGACATGACCTCATTCATTCATTCAACAAGCACTCATGGAAGCCGCATATGTTCGCATGTCTAGAATGTTGCTGTGCATGAAGAGTACACGGTCCTTTCTCTCTGGGGCCTAGTTCATGCCTTCACTGTTTCCGCTTTTCGTTCTCTTCCAGAAGTAAGTAAAAACTTCAAGCAGGGTTTTACTTTTTTTTTTTTTTTTTTTTGTCCTTTTTGAGACCGGCTGTGAGCGCACTGGCCATCCCTATATAGGATCCGAACCCGCGGCGGGAGCGCCGCTGCGCTCCCAGCACCGCACTCTCCCGAGTGCGCCACGGCCTTGGCCCACGATTTTACTTTTGAAACATACAGGAGAGCCTGTTGCTTTTGCCGGCGTTGAGACTGCCGGCAAATAAACACATGGGAACGAACCAAGGCAATCTCCTTCTGCCCTGCCTCGGCCTGCCAAATGAGCTCTGCCTTCCAGTCCCCCTGGGTTGCAAACAATGAGCGACTGGTCTCACCGGTTTCCCAATTAGGGACAGAGACAGGGGCAGCCCCAATGGGGAGAGCTGGGCTCCAACACAGCGTTTTCCACTCCAGCGCAAAGCCAGGCGTGCAGGCCCCGAAGGGAGCTGAGGCCCACAGCTGGAGGTGTGCCCCTGGTATTCAAACATTCCTGGCAGATGAAGTCATCTGAGATACACAGTATCTGGCAGGCTGCTTGTAATGGTGCAACTGCATTTCCCCCTCTCCGCTCCCCCAAATATAAAAAATGCAGCAGGTACTGTTAGGAATTTGAGGTTATTTTCTTTGGAGCTGATGCAGCTTCCCTGATCAGTGCCAAGGAGTCGCTTGCTTTCCCTCACTGAGGAAATCAGCCATCACTTCAGGGAAATGCCTGTCACAAGCTCCAAGTGGGTCAGCCACTATGGCAACCGTCACCAGCACCCCAGGGAGAAGATAAAACGTCATGCTGGAAGCTTGGCCTAACCTCTTTCTGACTTTCTTCAAAGCCTGATAGTTATAAGCACCCCATGACCTAGAATGGTAGCCCCTCCTTTGTCCTTGAAAATGGGGGGTCAGTTCCTCAAATAGGAAAAAACAGCCACAGAAACTTCCTTTGCTGAGGCCATTAGAGATGCTAAATGATGGTAATCTGCTCTGGCAGGGGACACATTACAGTGATGCTTTCTACCCTGAAGGAGAAATACCTTTTCTGAGCTCTGGGGAAGGCAGGAGCAGAATCAGATTTAATTTCTTGTCTGCTGGATGGGGGTGCTTGCTTACATTTGATAGGCTTACATTTGATAGGAGGAGGAGTTATCAGGCAAACAGTGAAAAGCAAGTTCAGCATGGTGCATGTTGACGGTGGAATATAAAAACCTCATCCAGGAGACCCTCTTCTTGGTAACAGAAGAAACCCTAGGAAATTACTTGACTTCTCTGAGCCACAGTTTCCACTGTTTTCTCATCTATAAAATGGGGAGCAAACTAGGTGGTCTTGAAAAACCCCCTCTTTGCTCTAAAGCTGTAAGTCTCTATAATTAGCACTTCAATAACCTTGAGAATTTTACGCCCATGTCAATCCTCCAGCAGCTTGTCTTCAGAGGGCACCAAGCTTTCCTAGTCAACCGGCATAGGGAGAGCTTTCCTCCAACATGGAGGCTGGAAATCAGAATCTAGCTTTTCCCCGTGAGCAAACGCAGTACTCACTGTCAGTTTCCACTTCTTGCTTCTGAAACTGCTCAAGAAGGTTTTGTGCTCTTCGCTCTGGGTCAGAGCCTGGCATCACCCGTTTGAGATAATCCAGCAGCTTCTGTAAGCACGGGAAGTGAGGGGGTTCTCGGAAGTCCTCTGCGCATTGGTCAAGCCAGGCCCTCAGGATTGAAGCGAT